AACAAATATGGTGCAAATCAATACCAACAACGCAGCGAAGAATTGAATCAACAGCGCAACATTAACCAGGAAAGCTCTAACGAGAGATTTTTAAACAATCACAACCAACAAAACAACCGAGACTTAAATGAGTTCAGCGAGTCTAACTGGAATATTCAAACCCCTAGTCATTCGATGAACATGAATAGTAAAAACCAACCGATTAAACACAACAGCCAGGAGGTATTCGAAAGCCAAAACCAGTGGAGTAAATCACAAACTTCCAGAAACTTTGAGCAAMAAAGTCAAGAGGACCTTACCCAACAAAAATTAAACAACAAAAACCGCGAAAGTCAAAATTACGGATATTCAGTCTCTTCCGAATCAAACTCCCAAGAAGATTACGTCAAGGACCATCGCAATAATGATTTGTCCAACGAAATTGGACTTCAAGTTGCACAGAAAATGGTTAGATTCTTTTCCATCATGGATAAATATACTGCCCGTAATGGAACCATACAAACTAACCTAGCTCATGAACCCTTCGCTTTAAGACAACACGCTATGTCAATGGATCATCAACAGTACCTTGAAATCAACGAGAGCAATGTCTATGGTCTCAACAACGGTGTCATCAAGTCTATGTATTTAAACACAGAGAGGAATTGCGTAAGTATAAAATCATTTTTAAAATGCATTTTAACTATATTAATAATAATACTTTATATATTGGGTTAGGTTGATTTGGAATACTTCTTTCAAAGCTTGTTGGTGAAGGCTAAATTCAATTCTAACGAAGGAATTAAAAAATCTTTCAATTTGAACATGCTCAACACCGACATAAACGTGTCTACCGAATTAGAAAACCGAAACCGCAACTACGCCCATTCCCGCAACGGAAATTCCCAACTTGTGTTCAAAAACAACGAAGACTCTACGGATAGCCAATCAATCAAGGAAACAATTAAAACAAATTACGTTCAATTATTAAACTCAGAAATTGAAAGTGAAATGATTCGTACCTCTTACAACGGTTTGGTTGGATGTTTAAGATCTGAAATCGAAACTACCTTTGAAATTCCATCAAACAAAAAACTCAATTTAGACATTGAAAATAAAAAAACTCAACTCTCAGTCTCTTTTGTAACACCACGTTCATTCAACAATGAGCAATCCAGCAATCAATTCAACAAACAAAAGACAGTCCAGTATGTCGCTTTCCGTCAAAACCAATCTGGAAACGGTTACAAATTGAAAGTCAAGATTGTTTTGGCTAAACAACCCACGTGGGAGTCCGATATTTTTGCTCAAAAATTAAATCAAAAGATCAACATCAGCAATGTAAAATTCACCGCTCAAAACATTGTTGCTAGTGCCGTCATGAAACGTGTTCAACTGGAAAACGGCGCTTACAAATTCAATGTCGAGGAAGCCAACATCAAATTGGAAGGCCTCAGATACGATATCRGAAAATTCGATCTACCAAAAAACACTAACGAAAAATTAGCAAGGGAGATTGGACAAGATCTACAGAAWATCATGGAGAACGGTATGAGCGCTGCTCTGCGACAACAGTTGTACCAACAACAACAAATCTGCAAACAACGCCCAATGGACTGCAATAGTTGCGGCCGAAACCAATTCAATCAACAGTAAACAACAAATTTATTAATCACATAATATTGTTATGATAAGTATGTGATAAATAATAAAACGTGATTTTATAATACGCCATATAGGAATAAAATTTAGAAATAGAAAATATTATAAATTAATTACAATAAATATGAACCTTCTTTTGTTTTAAAACAATATTGTTTTATTTTCAAATGTAAAAATTGGTTTTTGTTCCCAATTTTATCATACATTTGTATTTAATTTAATTAATTATCAAATTTAATCTTGATAAATCTCGTCAACCTTTAAACAATATGTATATAATAAGTTTTTGGTCGACAGATTTGATTAATTTAACATAATATTTTATGCATTATACGATATAGTAAAAATATTATTATGGTTGAAAATAACGATAAAAAGTACTTATTAGGTAATTATTAATTAATTGCTAAAAATTATCTATTTATTCAATAATAAAAAAAAAAAAAAATATTTGTTGTATTACTGGAAAGTAGATTATATACAATATACAACATTAAAATTATACTGTCAAAAACTTTAAATATACACATGAGATGATTTTTCAACGTAAATAACAACTAGGCAATAACCTAACCTATAATATACTCTTCTCGTGTATCTTTCATGATTTGATAAAAAATCTTAACACTTTGTATATTTTCTACAAAAATAAATCTTTATACTATTTTAGTGGATTGGATTGTTTTTAATTATTTTTCAATAGTTGACCAAATTAAGTAAATTGTATACCTAATATACTGAGCATTTTATATTTAAAACAAAATACTGAAATCCCTTCTTCAAAAAATTACAATAATATTGTAAAAATAGCAAATATACATTTATAAATTATTTCGATCTGCTCAAACAGTAGAATAGAAAATTTATATCTTATGCTTTAAAAAATAATAACTACCATATTATAATTTTTAAGTAAAAATCTACTAAATACTTTTTCTAACTTAATTTTGAATACATTTTTTCAACACTTACCTTAAATAGTTGAATATATTGGTAATATGTTGGTGGTATATGTAATATATATATAATATTTTTTACCACATTCAATTTTTTGTTGGTCACGTTTATAATTTTTCGTTTTTTTTTCAAATTAATCATCGTTCATTAATTATTGATCATTTCAATGGTTTCTTTTACGTAATTTTCAAAACCTTATTTTTACTCGCGGCTTGGTTAACCTCGTTGAAGTTTTTTTATATTTGACTACATTTTTATGGCAAATAAATGGGCGATGTTCTATTGTAATTTATTTATAGTACCTATAGTTCTATAATAGTACCTGTCAATGTCTGCTCTCTGCTACTTACGTGTTCTTTCACTAACATTTTGAAGTGCAAGAATATCATGAAATATCGTTTGAACGAGACATATTAAATTATTAATATTTATAACATCATTATTTTATGGAATAAGTATAAAATACTTTGAAAACAACAACAACAATAATAATAATAATAATAATAATAGACACATTACATAATATAATATCGAGGTATAAGACGTACTGTACTTAACGCCAACGCTTGATTTCAGGTATAAATAACTAATATGTAATAATGAATAAACAGCGAGCATTTTATCAATGTAATAATTATTTAAAGACATAATATGCAACAATTAAAATTACAAATATGTATAATTATAAATTTCATTGTTATATTGTTACTTATCACAATCCATCTTTATATCATACAGAACGGTATATGACATCCGCGATGTATACAATTTATCTGATTAAATAACAGCAACATACTTAACAAACTATTATTAACATCAATAATCAACAACGTAAAATATAAATTAAAAAAAAAAAAAACAATAAAAAAGCGCAGATGTTTGTGCAGTCTATTAAACTAACTCGTTTATCTCATCGTTTTTATTATTCATTAACGATTATATCATAATAATATATTAATTTAATTTWAATTTAATTTTTAGGCGTACCTAAACATAACAACATATCCGGAGTTTATTCTCCGTTTAGCAAAAACTACATCTGAAGCTTTTTTTGATGATATGAGTCTCAATATCCCTAACATCATTACAATATATAACTGTTTATTATTACAATATAATGTATAGGTATACATACATAATATATATATATATATATAATTATCTACAAAAAAACATGATATAGCCAGACCATTTATTTAATATTATATATAAACCATATTGAAACAATAGTATGTATTTGTCCTTTTTCAACTAATCTGTAAACGATTCGGTATTATTTAATTTTTTTTTTCACGTTTTTTCCACGGTTTACCGATGCTCTCCCAGACTTCAGAATTGCACACGAGTCMATTTAAGTTATATACCTATGTGTGTATACCTATAATTATTATTATTGTAGAACTGTTGCTATAGCACCAATCTCCCACCTCGCCGCCAAACAACCTGCGCCCGCTAATGACATAAACGCATTGCACGTTTTATGTCATCATACCGTCAGTGGGTTCTCGGTGATTCTGAATGGCCACGGCGAGCTGCGCACGCTGTCTTTGGACATGGACTGTCTGATGGATTTCGATATCACTGCAAAAAAATGCCACGGCCGTCATTATAGACTACCTACCTACGCGCGCAGTCGGCGGGTTGGCCAGAAATGCAGCCTGCCGACCATCCCCCGCCGATGAACAACACGGCGGCGGCGGTGCGATGACCGAAACTAAATTGTTTTGAAAAACAAATTTTATGAAATTTATGCGT